AATAACATAATCTTTTTGTTACACAAGCTGCCGGCCATGCCCTGCAGTCCACACCTGTCACCTCGGTGATGGACTATGTAGACTTGAGTGGCGTCCCTGCCTTAGAGCTGTTTAGGAACATTGGTTAATGGAAAACTGTTGACACCAAACACGAAACTGGGTTAATGGGGACCAAGTGGAATTGATGGGAGGAGACAGCAGATCTTAAGGTGCCGTTCCCAGCTGTGGTACAGCTGTGCCTTTTATCTTGACTGATAGTGTTTAGGTTGAGAAGCAGGCTGGGCAGGGAGAAGGTACAGTCTGTATATGGCATGAGCCATCTTGGCTCTGAAGCTTATCAAAGATCTTGAGGCCTTGTTAGACTTCTAAAGATGCCCATATGGTGAATTCCAATATTCCACTCTCCCATGACTGCGTGCTATCGTTTTCTGACCAGGGTGCCATGTTTACACAGCGTCGCCGAGTGCGGTTCCCTAGGGTGCATAGCTGCTTTGCTCTTGTCACGCCTGCTCCCAGCTCTGGGGGTTCATAGTCAAAGCATGAAGAGCTGGCGTTTGTATTCAAAATAGTTTAGGATTTACCCCCAGGCAAGCATGTTAACTTAATGCATAACTTTTTATTTTATCCCCAAAGGTTTCCCTCTCCACCCCTACAGGTTTCTCTTATGAAATATGGATGTATACATTCTTGGGGAAATAACCATTAGGGTTTTGAATAGATGAAACTTGGTGAAGGGGTGGCTTTCCATCACTGGTAGCATTGAGTGTGTCTAGCAGCGAGGCTCTGTCTGATCTTCCTCCCTCCTCTTGCTTCTTTCTCCTTCCATCCCTGATGTCAAACAATGAGTTCCATCTCCTTCATGTTCCAACCTGCTGTTTGTAGTCTACTGCAGGACCTTGGTGCAAACACTTCTTCTGCCTGGAATGCTCTTGCCCACTTCTCTATAAGATCGTTTCCGTTCCTTCAGGCACAAATAGTGGCTTCCTACTGAGGATGTCCATGGCTAGCCGTGGCTAGCCTTCCATGATATCAGTCCTTTCTTGTGGGCCTTCCACATTTTATATCTTGATTCTCTCTTTTATCTTTCTCCTTTTTTGGGGGGGGGGGCTGATCAATGTCAAATTATTTAAGTTATATTAGCTGTTTTGTTGACCCCTGCCCCTCTCACTCTTGAATACATCCAGTGTACTTTTCCTAGAGGCACGGTAGAGTTTAGACTTTCATTCCCAATCAGATTCTAGCAGGCAGAGCATTAAAAGCTCTCCCTGAATAGAAGGAAGGGGAGAAAAAGTACTAAGTGACGTTTGTTGGCTTCCGTCTGTCATCGCGGACCTCCGCAGCTTAGACGCAGAATTTATCTGGCAGTCAGCCCATTCATTACGCAGAACGGGTTTAGACGCTGAGGTGAGTTTTGAGGTTTCTGTCTTCAAGCAGTGTTAGCAGTGTCTCTGTTAGCAGGGACAGGAAGTAAGCTCTCAGTTGGCTTTGGGGTTTAAAGTATATCCAGGGAATCCAGAAGCAGCTCCCTACGTACATACATTTCTAGGCTTTCACACGTTTCCAGGAAGTCAGCAGGTGGTAACAGACACAGGCTGTGGTCTTATGGGAGGTAATGACATAGCGATAGGCAAACGGGATCTCTGGCACGAAAGGTCCATTCTCTTTGGTCCCTGCATAAAAGGTGTATGACTTACTTATCGCCGAATCCCACACCCAGCGTTAGCCCCACCGCTAGGTGAGGGGCTGGACGGAGAGGGATTCCTGTGCGGCTCTGTAAACAGTGATAAGATGGTGGGCCGTGAAGCTCAGCTTGGCAGGGGCTGCCTGGGATCTTGCTGAGTGCACAGCAAAACTTAATTAACTGTGCAAACATTCTATTCAAGATAAGACTATAACAGTTGCCTTGGGGAAAATTCTTTGAGTCAATATTTGTTTGATCTTTTATATAGTATTTTGGCTTTGGTATTCGTGCTGGAGCACAGTTCCTATTATATATGCTGTTTTCAAGGGTTTGCTGTATTTGCATGCCAGGTCAGCTCTGGAACAAGGAAAGCTGGGAATCACTGTTTAAACAGAGGTCCTGGGGGCTTCCCACTGGATGTTTAAAAGGTGAACTTTAGGTTTTGTTTTAAGTGGTTGACAAATCATTACTAAAAATATGTATTAAGGGCCCTAGTTTGGTCTCTAGAATCACCTTCACCATCATCATCATCATCACCACACACATACACACACACACATACATACACACACACACACACACACACACACACACACACACACACACATCTCCCAAATAGTTACAGTGGCTGTGATTTGTTGGACTCGGCATGTAGGAAAGGCCAAGTTATTGGCCTAGTGCTCTTCTGAGGGTGAGTTATCCCCTTTAATCCTCTTAGCAGTCCAGTGAGGTGAGCGATTATTGGTCTGAATGTTCATGGGGAGTACACAATATGGCGTCAGTCTGGAGAAAGGGGAGACTAAAGAAGTTGGAAATCAGAAGGAAAGTGTCCGGTCTGGTACTAGTCCTAAGCAACAGTGGTGTAATCGCCGGTGGGGAAGTGACCAAAGGTATACTCTGCTCGCGACATTGTTTCCTTCTGCAGTTACTTGGGCTGTTGAAATAGGAGCGGAGGGGCTGCGTCCCCGGCACCCGGCTGCCCCCATGGCTAAGAGCGGTGGGTCAGGCTGCATCCCGCCACCTGGCTAGCTTTACCCGAAATAATTACATGGAAACTGTATTCTTTTAAACACCGCTTGGCCCATTTCTATCTAGCCTCTTCTAGGCTAACTCTCACACCTGGACTAGCCCATTTCTAATAATCTGCTGTAGCCCACGAGCTGGCTTACCAGGAATGATCTTAACCTGCGTCTGTCTGGAGTGGGAGAATCATGGTGACTCCTTGACTTGGTTTCTTTCTCCCAGCATTCTGTTCTGTTTACTCCACCTACCTATGTTTTAACCTATGAGGGCCAGCCAAGCAGTTTCTTTATTACTTAACCAATGAAATCAACAGATTGATATATGACACTCCCACATCATTGGGCCTTTCTGGGCTTTCAGCGCCCCTCTTCTGGTGACAGAGACAGCAAACTAAAACACACAGAGCGGCAATGTCCTGCGTGCTATGAAAACAGCGAGGAAAGGAGAAAGTTCTGGGGTCGTGAAGGGGGATTTGCAATGATACTTTGGTAGGAACCGCTGGGGCATTTGAGTGAAAATGGCAGGAGGAAGTGCTGAGGGCAGGAGACTTCAGGGCCCTGGATGGGCCCTGTACCTAGTTTAAGGGACATGGAATTGGCCAGAGGGCTGGAAAGGGAAAGGTGAAGTAGAGGGGCAGCCTGGGGGGGGGGGGGTAGCACATGCCCACCTTTGCTGGCTTCAGTGGTGATGGTAAAGGCGGTGTAGTAATAGGAGCTTTGCTATCATTTCCTTATTTTTTTTTTTTTCAACCCCGTGCCTTGTAGCTGCTCCTGTTCTTACCTGGCAGGCCTAGCGCAGTGTCTCAGTTCTAGACCCATTCTTGTTGCGGGCACGGGTGTGATGGCAGCTGCACAACCATCAGCTGGCAGGTGACAAACCTGTTCAAACCTGGGAGGGAGCAGGCAAGTCACCCCGATCCCCACCCTCAGTCTTCTCTGGCTCTGCACGCCTGGGTGTCTTCTTCAGTTTTCTGTATGGTACTGTATGTGTTCCTGCTGGAGCTGGATCTGCAGCCTCATTGGCTGGATGCTGGATCCTGAATCTGCCTTGTTCCTGCTGGTTTATTGTTCAAGTCCACCTATGTGTTCCGGGGTTTGTGGTTTTGGGGGTCATTCCCACCGCTGTTTAGGCCCTGTGATGGACACATGTTCAGAATACTCACAGGGTGCTTGGAGGACTCCACATCCCTGCTCTGATATTGGTCCCCATGCATCCACCACTGCTGTGCCTCCGTGGACAATGGATTTGGAGCCTACCTATACTGATGGGCTGTGTTTCTGCAGATGCACACTCTGGACTTTTGTCAAGATGCCTTGGGGAACAGGAGACAGCTTGCAGGTTCAGTGGAGCCTGGAATACCTGTTTCTGATCCTCTCCCATAAGCCCAGCATGCTGGTCCTTGTAGGCATGAGCACAGGCCAACAGAGATGGTGAGGAGAGGGCCAGGGTGACAGCAGTGCCCATGCAGAAGGACATCACAAGTCAAGAGAGGAAGTTTCAACAGATGGAGCGTACCGGCCCCACGATGGCTGGATAAATGGTCAGAAACCAGATAAAGTTCACAGGTTTAAGGAAGAATGTTAATTAAATGGTTGCAAATTCAAAAATTGCTTTTGGAGAGACACTGAGGCAAGTCAGACCAAGCTGTGTGAAGAATGGGAGGCAGTGAGGACCTATGAGTGCACAGTAAGGAACTCTGAGTTAGCACAGCTTCAGGTCAGAGGCAAGCTAATATTTGCTAGTAGGATTAACCATTAGGTCACCTCTCTGATCTCTCTCTCTCTCTCTCTCTCTCTCTCTCTCTCTCTTTCTCTCTCTCGGTTCCAGATTTTAGTTGCCATTCCTTCTATGTAGATCTAAAATACCGGTGAACTTTCATCTCCTTGATAGAGCAATTATAGCACCAACAGGCTGGAGTCTCAGAATTCTGGAGTGCAGTTACTATGTATATTCTCTTGGTGTTTTTCTTCCTGCTTCCAGCCATAGGGACTTGACTTAGAGGGTGTACACAGAGAATTTTCCACTTGGTTATGAAGTGGGGTAAGCTCTCTGAGCTCTTAGCTCCAGAGAAAAGTCATAGGGCTGAAGAAATGCTATAGCAAACATACAATGTACATAGACGGTAACTGCATGAAGGGGTGTTCCCTTAGCTAGCTTACTTAAGGTAAATGTCTCCCTGTGCCCGTCACTCACTTTCCTGAGAAGCAGATGAGTTTGAATTAATGTTTGCTGAGCATCCAGAATCTCCTGTGGAATTGCTTCAAAAATGCTAAAATACAGTTTGTTTCCCGAATAGGTGGTTCATTTGTGTGGCTCAATACTGAGAAGCTGAGAACTGAGAAGAGAGAAAACACGGCTCCTCCCATCCGTCCTACACCACTTGGTGAGTTTCTGGCTTCAAGGCAAACCATGTTTCTATGTTAACACACCCTATGCCGTCTTCAGTCAGTAATAACAACTGTAAAGGGAGGTTATCTGCAGATTCTACACGCACAATTCCACCGAACCGGAAAATGTTGGAAGAACATTGCCCCGTACAGAACATGTACAGACCTTTTCTCTTGTCCTGATCCCCTAAACAATGCAGCACAATGACTATTTACACAACACTGACATGGAATTAGTTACTATAAATGATCTAGAGATGATTTACAGAACATGGAAAGCTGGACCTGGGGGCTCAGGCCTGTGAACTCAGGCACCTGGAGGCTGAGGCAGAAGGTTGCGAGTTCAAGGCCTATCTGGGCTGTGAGTCCAAGGCAACAACTGAGTAGGATCCTGTATTCAAATTGCAATAAGAAAGGGCTGAACCTGTGTTCCCAGCCCCATGTTTGAACAGTGTATGTATCGCACAGTGTGTGCAGTGCCCTGGGTTCAGTTGGAACAAAAGGGGATGAGGATAAATGTTGGCCACATGCAGAATCGATACCACTCCACATAAGGGGTTCTCGTATCTAGGGACTTGTGTGTGTCTGAGAGAATCTAGGAGCCAATGCCCCTCAGATATTGAGGTGTAATAACTTATTTCATAAGTTAGAGTAAGTCGGACAAGAGTTTGTTGAAACTCAGATCATCAATTCAAGTTATACGTGTAAAGATTTATAGCCCAACAAACCTCTGCTGATGCAATCATCCAAATCAGACCGAATCAAACCGAATTAGAAAAAGCCCAGGTCTTGACCCTCTCTGTGGAGGGGTCACCGTTTGGCAGGCTTTCTCGGAGGTGGAATCTGCACTGCAGCACCTCTCAGAGGAGGGGGCTGAGGGTGGAAAGTTCCACCCAAACATTCCAGACTCCCAGGATACATGGATGCCAGAGACTGGGTGAAGCCTCCAACCAAACATCCCAGACTTCTTTGATATAGGGTACCAGGGGGCTGGGGTGACTCCTGAACCCAAACAATAAGATCCCTGTATACCATAGAATCTAAATCTATGATTTCAACTCAGTCTGGCTCTTGGAGAGCAGTGCAGTGCCTGCATCCCCAAGGCAGGTGATGAGGTGGGGTCTTAGGTCTCGCCAGCCTCATGAATAGGAACTGGTCAGTCATGTGTCTACCTGGAGTAAAGCAAGGGGGAGATGATCTTGGAAGGGATGGTGGCTGCCCACATTCCTTATCTCAGGCTTTGGTCCCATGATGGTGATCTTTTCGTGGTCAGAACCACAATTCAGGCACTATAGGATGCCCATGACTGGGCTTTAGTTATTTCTTTGTTCAAAGAGGGTCATCTTTAGCTGCCCGGACTGGCCTCTGACTGGCCTCTGACTTGAAGGTCTTCCTGCCTCAGACTCCTGTGCACTGTGATTGTAGTTGGGCACTGCTGTGTTCAGATCTGGGTTTTCAATTTGGACTCCTCCTCCTCTTCATTTCCTAAACTTGTCTTAAATCTTTAGCTGTTCCTGTTGCTCCCTTAGGGGCAGTGCTGGTCTGACTGAGAACAGTAAACAAACGACAGTTTAAAAAAAATGTGGAAGCAGCCAGTTGGGTTTGCTTTTACCATTTTTATTTTGATGACTCGATACCTATATATTCATATATACAATACTATATATATGGTTTTGCATTTTGTTGAAATTTTATTGTTTATTTTATTGAAATTTACAATAGTGAGCAGGCAATTAGATTTGTGTGTTTGACGTAAATCTGTTCATGTGATAGAATTAAATAAAAGGATGCATGGGGTCAAAACGGGAACCAGCAAACCGTGATTTTGAACTCCTTAGCTCAATATCGAGACACCTCCTCAGAAAAGTTGTCAGAGCCGTGGGAAAAAAAATGAAGTCTGTTTTGTGCTAAGGACTAGAGGGCAGAGATGGCTGGGCACTCCTCTGCAGAAGGGATTTAATGGAGAACAACTTCAGTGAGCCCTGAGTTTGACCAGGAACTTGCAGGTCATTCTAAAGCAAAACTAAGTGTTTCCCACAAAAGCAGTGGTTAGAAAGTTGACCACAGGGGGAGCAGGAGGGAAATGGGAGGAGGGGAGGAGGTGGAAAATTTTAATTAAATAAAAGTTATGTAAACTGAAAAAAAAAAGAAAGTTGATCACAGAACAATTAGGTATTTGGGAAGGGGGAGGGGGCAGTTAGTCAAATGAGTCCTAAGTCCCTGAAATGCTCATATTCCAAAAAGCAGCCAAGGAAAATAAATATGACTGACATATTTTGAAAAGCAGTGTTAATAGAGCATAGTGTGTCAGGACACGTCTGGCGGGTGAATAAAAATAATCAGAAACAAAAGAAAATATAAATCAAACCCCCAACAGTGAGACTGTGTGAGATGGTGCTGCTCAGTGTGGTGTTTTCTGGGAGCCAGGATTATCTGGGAAGGGTGCGGCATTGTCTTGATTTAAGATTGATGTGGGAGGTGCTACCCACCCTTAGGCCTGTGGCCCCGAGTTGTTTACTAGAAGGAGCTGGGCAAGCTGTGGGGAGCTAGCCAGTGAGCGGCATTCCACCACAGTCTCTGCTTCAGCTCCGGCTGGTGTTTCTGCCCTGGCTTCCCTCAGTGATGGACTGTGATTGGGACATGTAGGTCATCAACCCTCTCCTTCCCAAGTCGCTGTGATTGGGACAGGTAGGTCATCAACCCTCTCCTTCCCAAGTCGCTTTTAGCCAGTGTTTTATCACAGCAGCAGAAAGTGAACTTCATAGCCTAGCTCTGCTACTGAGGCAGGAGGATGAGGGAGGCAAGGACAGCCTAGAGTAAGCAAAGTCCTGGGGAAGAATCCAAGATGGTGGCAGAATGGCTTTTTAGTATGACAAATGAGATGTCAGAATTTAACGTCAAAATGAACGTGACCTCTCAGGCAGAGCCATTACTAAAAACTTTAGAATGATTTTTATACCTGAGCAGTCACACCCAGCGGAATTTGTTTTTAAAGGAAATGTTTGATATACAGAAAACAGCTCTCTAGAGTTTAATGCATATTAATTCCAGCATCAGAGGCAGGTGGATCTCTGTAAGTTCGAGGCCAGACTGGCCTACAAAGCGAGTTCCAGGACAACCAGAGCTGTTACACAGAGAAATCCTGTCTGGAAAAAGCAAAAACAAACAAACAAAAAGTGTAATATATAACACATAATTGAAAATGAGATAGCATCTAACCAGAAAGATAGGTGTATGAATTCCAGCGCATTCATACAATGGGCTGTTTTATAGCTTAAAAAAATATTTAGGTGTGAAGCAGAATAAAATTTATATAGGAAAAGGCAGGAAGGAAATGTTAGCCATGGTTGTAAATATGTAAGAGGATTTAAAAAAGATTTTATTTGTACGTGTATGAGATTGTGCAAACATGGATGCCTATAGAAGCTGGAAGAGGGTATCAGATCCCCTGGAGCTAGAGTTACAGATGGCAGGGAGTTGCCTGTAAGGGATTCTGTGAATTGACGTTGGGTCTCTGAAGCACACTTAAACACTGAGCCATCCCTCCAGCCGACGTAAGATTATTAAAAAAAAAAAAAAAAAACAACAAACACAAAAAAGAACAACTCTTTGGATCTAAGAGTGAGCTATAATGAAGATATATTACAAAAAAGTAGATAGAGAGTAAGTACATTCTTTTAAAAAAGTGGAATAAATACATAAAAGAAACCTGAAGTTGAAAGTGGGTTAAAAACATCATTTTCTTTATTCGGTAGAGGGTGCTATCACAAATACTTTGAGTCTAAGTTGTTCACGGCATTTTGATGAGTTCTTTCGCTGAATAGAGACGGGCACCGGTGCGCTGTATAGTGGCCGGCAGTGGTATGCTGTATGGTGACGGGCATTAGTGTGCCATCACTAGAGTTGATTCCGTGGTGAGGACAAAGAACGAACGGGGTGAAGTGAGTCATTGCTAATCCAGATGTGGATGGCTTGCAGCCTCCACCACCGTCACCTCCATGCTGGTCACTTGCCGTGATGGCCAGTGGCCTGCTGACCACAAACATTAGGCTGAAAGTGACTCTGTGTCACCAGGAAAGAAGGTCTATTGGAATGGCAGTAGGTCCTGGTGGTGTGATTTACGCTGGGACCTCCTGCTGTTTTCCTTAAAGACAGACCTGGGAAGAGGCTGTTGAATTCGCAGCCGGATTCCCGTAGAGTGTGACAGTCAGCGTGGCCAGTTTGTCTGGTAGGCTAACAATGTCAGGTCACAGTGCTTCACTGCAGGCCAGCTGAGGGTCCCTGGACTGAGCCAGTCCAATCTGTACCGGTAATGGGATTTCCGCTGTTTCTTTATATCCCCAGACAGAGGTCCCCGTGTCCTACCAGGATGGAATCGTCATTTGGATTGATTTTTGCTTTCTTCCATAGTCTTCAAATGCTTTGTTTACACCATCAGTGAGGGTTTGGAGGACATAATCCCTTCCTGTAAACCAGTGGTTTGAAAAGTAGACTGAGGACTAAACAGTGACTTCCTCCAGAGGAACTGTGATCAGCATCTGTGGTTTCCACACAGCGCAAAGGGAAGCTGCCTCCTCTACACAGCTCATTAAGGCTAGCCCCAGCCAAGGGTGTTCAATTCAAAGATAGCCACACGGGTGTGGCTTGTTTTGAAACTCGGAAGGATAAATGGCAATTTGTAATACTACTGCCACCAAATTTAACCAAGGTTCTCTCAATCTAACGTCAGAGCCGGGGTCTCATTGTGTAGTTGAGGCTGGCCCTGAATTCACAGCCCCCTGCCTCGGCTTCCCCAGTGCTGGGATGGCAGGCATGTGCCACCGCGCCAGCTGCGGTGTGGGCTCTGAACGGCAGGCTGGGAGCTAGGCTGCAAAGTGTGTGAGAGCAACCGTCCTTGTTCCCACTGGCCGGCCTTTTCTTACCCAGCACGAATGGACATTCAATTCATGTCTTAAATGAGATCATTTCCATTTTGTAGAATTTAACTCTAGCCACA